ACTGGAATTTGCGCACTGCATCTATCTGCTCTCAGTATTTCGTGTCGAACTGATGCGTGCGTTACATTCCAGCGAACCCGGTGCCGTACATTCAATATTTCAGTACCTCGAAGATAAGTAAGCATTTTTGTGCCTTGTTTCATTGGTTCCCACTATTTTTCGTAGGTAATTTTACATCCTTTTTTTTTAAAGTTGCAGATGCACTGGATAGACGCAGTAATGGCTGGCATATGGTCGTAACATGAGCTTATCAAGATGGATTTTTAGACTCAATTAATTTAACCGGTCATTTAGTCCAAGGGAATAGGCAGAGGAAAAGTTCTGGATTGTTATGTTGTGCACTGTTCAAGTGGCTCATCATTTCTGCTTTAGATCGATCAGAAAGGACAAAGATGGAATTTGGACATGTCTTCTTACAGCCGCAACAACAATATTTATTGAGTATCTGAAAGGCGCCAAAAATCGCAGTCTGGACAGAACCTGTGAAATTCAGCTAGAATTACATGCGCAGTACCTGCTGGTCATGTTTAATCATCACCTTAAAGAGGTTATCCGTTTTGTTTTTGCTGGTTTTATGCATAAATTAGAGCATCGCAGCTTCTCCCCACTTTTCACATTCGCCACTGTTCGTGTCACTTTCGCTCTAAAATGATGTTATTGTGTTTTAAAAAAACCAACATTTAAATCAAGCTCATGAAATGATGTACAGATCTGCCAAAGGGATGTAATATTTAGCATACGAGGCGTGATTTTGTATGAATTTTAATACTTTTCGGGCGAATTTTACAACACCTTAGCTATTTTAGCTAAGCTGATGTAAAATTCGTCCGAAATGTATTAACATAGAGCTGTAATACTACTCTGTTTTAATGCCATTCTGCCTATGTGTTGCGGGTACCATGTTTTGTTGGAGAAAAAAATAGGTACGCTAATAAACGATAGGTTTAAAGATAAAATTTTGCGAAACGTTATAAATGTGAGCAAACCAGTGCCAGAACTGGCAAGGGCATCCTTAATTGTGACCACCGTTTGGCCATGTGGCTTCATATTTGCACATTATTTAATTGTAAAATTTGCCAATACTGTAGTGCATTAAAAGTCTGAGCAAAGGCGATCGTTCCAGTTCGATATAGCATTCAAAATTTGCATATCGTCACTTGCAATTTGCATTCCCAAATCGCTTGCATATCGCCTCTGTCATACTGAGGACCGCATGTTTACTTCGCTAATGACATAACTAGCCCCCGTATGATTTGATCATTCGTTTCGATGGGAAATTGGCCAATAAAAAATCTAAGCAATTTTTAAAAGAGACAGTTATCAGAAGCCTTGTCTGCGTTTGTTTGCTGTCTGTGGACTACTTTCGATTGCCACTGAATTATGAACAACTTATCTTTACCGTACTGGTGTTGCAGGTGAGAAAGTGCGCAGATACTTGTCTAACAAATTTGATCGGGAGCTTCCCGCATTTGCTCTGGAACGGCAACTTCATAAATGTGGCATTGCAAGTCCTGGAAGCGCTCTCAAATAATCTTGAGAATGATACCGACTGCAAGACTATGACGCTGTCTTTTCCATCACTGAAGTGGACTATCCAACTTCAGGTATTCGGTCCATTACTAGTGGTCTCGATGCAAATATCTGTGAAGCTTCCGTTTCTTTTGTTTCTGTTTTTATGGACACGTTATCATTTCTCTGTTTCTTCATAGTTATTCGTATCATATTCGGTGGCTTAGCCAAATTCCCCTTCAAAAAACCCTGAATATTTGATACTCTTCCACGAAAGTGATGCGTTTTAGTCGAAATGACATTCTGTTGCTAACAGTTGCCAAGCTTATTCAGTTTTCTCGTTTTAGATCGAAGTTCATGCCTAATCTAATCCCCGATTTTTCTGATCTACTGCACTATGCAGTGACATTTTTCATCTGATTTGGCACTGTTTTGATTTAATTTTATGTATAATTTTTGGGTATCGTGTTTACAATTTCAGCATTCCTTATGAGTAGAACTGGTGCCCCTACCGTCTCTTCACTTCGTACGATGAATGAATTAGGTACGAATTTGCTAAAAAAATTTTTTTTTCAGGACACACTGGAGCAGAGAAAATTAATCGTGCGAGATTTTTCATTACGCTGCGAACAGATTCTCCAAGAGGCGATCAAGTGGGCGCCAGGCAGTACACGCAGTCATCTCGTTGTCAGTATAAATATTTTAAGTTTGAGTTCCATGCTAACATAGTCCGTATAAGTTTGATTTTATCTTTTGTATCCAGCAAATTAAAATTATTAGGGTTGCGGTTTTGAAAAAAGCAGATTTTACTGGTTTGAATGGTATGAGTCTTA